TTGTAGGACACTCTTGTGGGTCACTCTAACAGGACACTGTTGCGGGACACTCTTGTGGGACACTCTTGTGGGACACTCATACGGGACACTCTTGTGGGTGGGACACTCTAGCTGGGACACTCTTGTGGGACACCTTGTGAGACACTCTTTTGGGACACCCTTGTGGGACACTCTTGTGGGACACTCTTGTAGGACACTCTTTTGTAGGACACTCTTGTGGGTCACTCTCGTAGGAAGCTCTTGTGGGGCACTCTTTTGGGACACTCTTGATACCACCAATCGTCCCGCTCACAGCGACACGCCGCGTTTACACCAGCATGCTTCGCGCTCCCCAGTGGCACGGTGCCACGCAAACACACTTCCCACCAAGGCCGCGCAAATCCCAGTGGCACTGCGAAATCACGAACGTAATTTCGCCACACGGTCTGCCCACACACTGGAAGCAAACATATCACATGATACCACCAATCATCCCGCTCACCAGCGACACGCAGCGTTTACACCAGCATGTTTCGCGCTCCCCAGTGGCACGGCGCCACGCAAACGCACTTTCCACTTAGGCCGCGCAAATCCCAATGGCACGGCGACATCACGAACGTCACACGATCTGCCCACGCACTACAGCGTTTCGTACGAGACTTCCTCCAAAAGTCATGTACAGTCTCCAAAACGAGCGTTTCGTACGAGACTTCCTCCAACAGTCACACGTCAAGTCTCCAAAACAAGCGTTTCGTACGAGACTTCCTCAAAAACTCACATGTCAAAGTCTGCAAGACGAGCGTTTCGTGCGAGACTTCCTCCAAAAGTCAAGCGGAAACACCCATTGGAGCACACACATCACGCGGCTCTGCCAAGCAGTTTCGCGATTCCAGCCCCTCCAAACAACACCCGCTCACACGCCAATCCCAATGTCACAGCGACATTCACCTCTACCACAACTCACAACCTCACGATTCCCTGCGCCTGCCACGAACCTTTCCGCGCCCCCATGTCTAACGCGCACAAAGCACTGCGCCTGCCATGAAGTGTCACCTTCGTCACACCTTGCCTTGCAACCTCACGATTCCCTGCGCCTGCCACGGAATTCGCACTTCCACACCTCAAAACCCGCACAAAGTACTGCGCCTGCCACGAAAAGTGATAACTTCATGTCATGCGAGCTTCAAAAAATTTGCACCACACCACACGTTTGGAATGATTTCGACCCGTCCTGCGCACACTCCCATCCACCAAAATCGCCATTTCAGCTGAGACTTGTCACGAAAACCGAGCTTCGACGCAACACCCTGAAACGCAAACCCCAATGGCACGGCCACATCCAACACCCAAAACCACAACTCTCCAAACGCAAATCCCAATGGAGCTGCGCAGCAAGCTGCGGATCTCACAAAACGCTGTGCCTGCGCAGTGAAATCATCCTCCACACTTCAACATCTTACATTTCCACACGTTTCCATGCTATTTCACACGAATCTGACACGTCACGTTTTCATCCGAAACCCGCTCCAAAAGCTTCCCCCAATGGCAGCGCCTTAGCGCTCTACTGCGGACGGTTGCGAACATAGAAACAACGGGTCGCGAACAAGGCTCTACCCCCAGACCCCCAGAGTCAAACGAGAACCCTTCGCGACGCATTCGGGAACGAGAACAGAATGCAGCAATGAGTAGTGCAGCAGTAAGTAAAAAACCTTCTCGTCTAAAAGGAAAAGTGGTGGGCCTTGCCAGCAAGTAGACCTGACGTGTAGCCTTCACTGTTGATTCTTCGATCACTTTGAAACCCTGCTGACAATGTACTTGTAGCATCTGAATGCATTCATTCGATTTGTCCAAATCTGTGAATTCTTCAAATGCGAGGGAACGTTGCTATGATTGTTATGTGAAGAGGTGCTTACTCAGTCCTCAGTGCTCGACGTAGTTCGCCAAATGTACTCCACCTAGTTTGAGTCGCTGCCAGTGCTGCACCTTAGGCACCATGTCTTGGACAGCAAGCGGCTATGCCGGCTATGCAGCTGGTGTGGCACCTCCTCTCATATCGCTGGTGTGGCACCTGGCCAGTCCGTTTGTGTTTACGCCCCAGATCGCACAACCGATTTCAGAAGTTCTCTCAGCTTCAACAGCAGAGACAAGGAACTTGGCTGTCTCAAGACAAGGCGACCCCACGGCCAGTGGGTCACCATGGGTCACCCAAAAACCACGTCGGTTGCATGTTGAAGGCATTTTCGGACCAGAATGGCGGTTCTCCCAGGTTTGAGACACACCCAAGTATGCAAAATGAGCAGCTTGGAGTCTTAATGAAAAGTATCCTTTTGGATTCCTTTTCTCCCGCTGGCGCGTGGTTCACCTGCGTGGAGGCATCCACTTGCAGCATCCGGTCTAGCATCTTGCTTCTCGGATGTGAGATGGACAACAAGTTTATGTTTCATCATCGGCATCATGTCAGTGTGAGACGCCAATGTGAGATCACGAAGTGATACACACATGAGACTCCAGAACCACTTTGGGCTCACAAAGGCACTTTATTCTTTTGCTGTTGCAGTCCCTCAGCAGCTGCCGATATGTCGATGTCAAAGGAAGCATCAGCTGCAAGCTGCCGGGTCAACCACTCAGCTCCAGATGGCACCCCGAAGGCTTCAGCGGTGAAGTCACCTCGTTCGTTGGTCAAAAGAAGGAGGTCAAATCTGCCGACAGATTAGGAGATATTCGGAGTACGTCAGCATGCAGGGGTCATATTACGGGGGGTTTTGTCCACCATTGGGTTTCAAGTAGCCAAAGAGATCTGATAGCTTTGGGGATTTTTCGATAGAAAAGGCTTGTAGATTCACCAGCTCTCACCTGATGCTTGAAGTGAGAGAACCACAGGACCATTTGCATCGGTCACAAGAGTGATGATATACTCACCCTCTGGAAGTGCGGTATTGAGGCCCATGTCTCTGGACATTCGCCATCGACAGGCTGCGGCCTCGCCTTGCAAATCCTCTGCCTGGGCCAATCGATAGCACGCATCGGTTTTGAGCAACACCCGAATCTGCAGACCTGCATAGGAGCCGCCCGATCGCCCCCGATGATCCGGCTGAGATGCCATGAATGCGAAGCGGTTCGAAGGAGTCTTGTTCTTGAGGCTCAGAGCAAAGTTTGCTTGTCCGTTGCTTTGTCCCAGAAAACGAAGGTCCGTCTGAGGGCTTTGAATCATGGTGACGCTTCCCCCCTTGAAGTACTTAGAGACATCCAATAGCGACATCCAAAACATTCCATCCGAAGAGCTCGGCATGGAGCGGTTCCCAAGCATGTCGAGGATTTCCGCCCCTTCTTGCTCATCGATGTCTTTCCACTCCTTGCTTCCATCACTCCACCTTCCCGTCCACTCAGTGCCGGAACCCCACGGATTGCGGATCTGGCAAATGGTTTCTCCACAGGCTACAGCCACCCCATAGAGAGTGTAGCAATGACCTGGCAAAAGTCCAATCTTCTTATATGCCTTCTCTAAGCCGGTCAAATCATTGTTCTTTCGGTCAAAGGAGGACGCATCGGTGCCAGGGGTTTGCACGTTCATGGCAAAGTCCGAGTGGTTCCACTGAGTCAAGGCCTTGCCCAGATCATCTCTGCTCCAAAACTCGGTCTTCACAAAGCCATCCAGCAAGACCTCTTGCGGATCCTCCGGGTTGAAGGCGAAGATCTGGGAGGGCGAGCCGGTGAGGTCCGTCAAGGCATTGGCGGTCTTCCCCACCTGGAGGCCGATTGAAATGAAACAGAAAAACAAATCAAGTGGGTTGCGCGAGTCCATTCTAAAGGGATATATGTGCAACAATGTTATCATCACAGACGGTTCAATCCTCAAAGCCCAAGGTTTCCTTCGAATCCATGAAGTTGGGGGGAAATCGGGGGGGATCTGCGGGTTCGGATTCTCACATACAACTCCTAGCAAACAAAGAGTTGGATTTTAGACCTTGACTCACCTGGATCACCCTGTATCCTCCATGGAGTTTGGCCCAAGCTTTCTCCAAGATTGCCACCCACAGCTCCGCCGAATTCTTCCGATTCCGCGCGAAGAGGGGTGACACCCCGCGCATCACCAGGAAGTCATCGACGATGGTGCGGGTCCAAAGGCCATCTTTGGTGTGATTCACCACGTAGCCTCCCACCTACAAACGACCAAGTATTCCTACGATTCGAGGGGTGGAGGGGTGTGGAGGGATGTCTCTTTAGTGGAGGTCTTGGCTCCCAGTTTTTGGGTCAAAAGGATGCGACATGTTGGAAGGGTCAAGAACAACTCGCAGGTGCCCTTCTAGTGAGGAGGGGAACTCCCAGCTCATTCACATCTGCGGAAACTCCTTGGGTTGAAAAAAGAGCCATGAACACAAAGCAATGGCCTCCAACCTAATATATAGCAACGGCCTCCACCCTAGTACCAATGGCCTCCAACCTACTAGCGATGGCCTCCACCCTATAGCGATGGCCTCCAAACATTACATTTCATATCTCTTGACGGGCGCTTGGATGGATCACCGTCCCCCCAGGGTGCCGAGCACCTGCCTCATTGCCATAGTATGGATTGCCATCCACACCAAAGATGGAGTACACTCGCTGTGGCCACTCAGCCAAGGCTGCAATTGCTGCAATCAGCCAACAATCACCCAGGAATCCCTGTCCCACGTCACCAGGAGAGACCTTCTCACCCGATTCATCTGAGACGAACAAGCTTTTCTTTTGCCCATCTTTCAAGAACTGCTCCGGACAAAGGAAGGGTCCAGGGCATGCCTCTCCATTGCCCATGACAACCTCACGGTTGAAGTTCACGTCAACAAAGCGCGTCCCTGTTTCAACGCAAGCTTGCAGTATCGCCATATCATTTGCTGCGTCAAGTCCGCGCTCGGAGATGAGGGCCTTCACCTTTTCCGCACTTTCATCATAGAGTTTTGCAAGATCTCCGAAGGCTTCATTGTAATCTGCCGCAGTAAGTGGCTCGGTCGCAGGAACAAAGCCTGGAACCTGCCCCTCTCCATCGAAAGCAAGTACCATCTCACCTGGAAGTACTGTGAAGGCGATATTCTCTCCATCCACTTTGCATCGAAAGCTAGGTTTTGCCGCATCCTCGGGCTTTGCGAGCGCTTCTTCCTTTGCACCTTGAAAAGTGACAATGAGCTTTTCATTCTTCATGTCATTGTAGAGGCCGATGCATACCTTACGGTCATCACTGACCCAGTACCACAAGACACCATCAGAGCTTCCATCTCTGTTTTGGAAAAGCGCGACATCTTTCATTTTGGCCTTGTTGTCAATGCGCCACGCCGGCGCATGGGATTCCGCATCCACCTTCCCCATGACGATGACTAGGCTGACTGGTCGGAAAAAGCAAACGTTGAGCTGCACGAGGGCTACAGTCGTAAGAACGCGTGCACACTGAAGAGGGCATCCTCCTATGAAAGTTCATTTGAAGGTGTCTCACCACGTCTCACCATGTCTGCTTCAATCAGTTCGACCGGGCGCCTGACACTCCGCTTCGCTTCGCTTGAAAAGGTCAATGGCTTGCCTGGCAAACTCCAAAAAACCGTCAGACAGAACCATCTCTCTGTCACCAGTTGCTGGGTTCCGCAACAAGGACCAGACCATCAGAAACCAGGTTCTGGGTGTGGACGATCCACGACAGTCGGGACAAACAAACATGCGGTTCATACTGCTTAGTTGGGATAGGTTTGGTACTGCTCCGCTTACCGTCCATGAGTGAAAATGGCCCAGTCAACCAGGAAAAGCCTGCAAAACCCGATCAAGGACCCATCCTGAAAACATCAAGACACCCTCTTTCTTCAACCTGGGTGCACTAGTGCATCCGAACCGGTCGGCGATCAAACAGGCATGTAACATCCGCTGCTGCTTCCCGCGCACACATGGAACGCAAGCCATTCGCGCAAGCATGCTGGGAAGCGTACCACGAGGAAGGTACCATGAAGCATGATGACTGCATCTGCTGTATGACAAAGGCAAAGAACAATGACTTCTCAAACCCAAAAAGAACAAAATCAATCAGAGACTAATGCGATAATCCATTGTAGCCCAGACAAAGACTGCTTTGTTGTTCGTTTGGGTTGTGCCAGACAAAGGCATGGCTTGGTTACGTTGTTTCTTGTTTTGTTCTTTGGCTCACTGTCATCTGTACCCCCCAACAAATTAACAAAAAGTGAAACAAGCAAACAAAATAACTAACTAGCTAACTGACTAACTAACTAAACAAGCTAACTAACTAACCTATGATCAAGTGAAGCCCAAAAGAAGGCTTGGCTTGTCTTTTTGGTTTTGCCCACTGCCATCAGTATGAAGAGAAGCGTGTCTCTTCTAGCTGCTACCTTCCTGTAGCGTTCGCTTCGTTCGCAGGTTGGATCAGCGACTTCTTTGGATACCAAATCCATGTATTGATACAAATAGTATGCCTTTACAGTAGGCTTTTGACACATTAGCATCTTCTAATACTCTTGTCGGGCTTCCTGTTTTGTACCATCATTTGCCTTAAAGAACGTACAAGTAGCTCGAACAACTCTCTCACATACCGCATTTTTTAAAAAGACTATAAACAAATATACTTCTGCAAAGAGTGAAGGCTTTACTAAAAGAACGCATTTGCACAAAGAAGTTTGCCTGCAACCAGAAAGCAGCCGTTTATATGGAGGAGCAAACTCTGAAGAACGTGTGCCAAACAGGCTCGTATTCGGGCTTATGGCAAAGCGAGTATGTCTTTTATAATGCACTACCACGGTTTTGTGCTCAGAAGGACATTGCATTTACAAGGATCCTATGCCAATCTCTTTAAATGTGTTGCATTGCAAGGCTTGATGTTGTTATGTGTTGCTGTTGTTTTGTGGATTTGCTTTTGAGCAAGCAGCAGGCAATCGTTTTCATGTTACTTGCGCCTTTGCTGCATTGTTAATGTTATTCGGATGCGGTTTCTACATAACATTGCCAAGCATCATATCAGGTACAACTCTACTATGATGACAAGGGCTCATACTGGAATGAGGTGCCTCATCATATCTTTGAGTGCTGGAAATTTGCAACGCTTTGTGCCTGAAACATAGGTACGAGGGGCGGGGGTAGCATATGTATATGTTTTCAATGGCTGACAGACTCAACAACCTTCAAGAACCTATCCATCAAAGCAACATAGATTCTGGCAATCTTCCAGCCATATCAGAATCATAATGGTTCTGGCATATACTGGCATCTTCATCATGCCAAATCTAAAAAAAAACAAACAGGGCTTAGGAAACAGGGCTTAGGTCGCCTAGCTTCCGAGCAACACGCACTCATCCCGCTCAGCTCTAGTTATATTATATATATAACATATTATACATTATTATATGTATACAATTATATATACAATTGTATACATCATTATACATCCGTGTTCTCTCAGTTGCTACCTTCTTGAGAACCCTTCAGCAGACTCGCACATTGTGCATACATTCTGAAGAATGAACAAACAAAATGTTTTGCACCATAGCTCATCGTTTCTCTGTGCAGCACTGCAGCACACCTCACCTGCAGCACTGCAGCACTCCAGCTTCTCAGCTTCAGCAGTCTCTGAAATCAAAGTTGGTCTCGCCGAAGCAAAGAGCCTCCACATGTCCGTCGAAATGGCTTGGACACTTTGCTTCGGCTAGATAGAACGGCTAGAATACCACAAACCACCAATGAACAATTCAAATGTTCAGCAGCGGAAGCGAACGGCCCGAACGGGCTCGCTGTCTTCAAGACCTCCAAACACCAACACTGCTGCTCAAGCCTGTCCACGACACTGCACCAAGCCTTTGTCCGCACTTGTCACAGCCGAAGAATCCATGTTTCCCACAGCGGAGAGTTCGCTCCTCGACTGTGAGAGATTCTGATCCGTTCCATCGTCCGTTCGTTCACAAGTGTCAAACTGCTCAAGAAGGTTTGCCAAAGCGAACACAGTAAAGTATGAACAAGTCAAATCCAAGCGTCCTGCAGCTTTTGCTAAGTGGGCATCGGCTAATTCCTTCCATGGAAACCAACGACCCCTCTTGCACTTCAAGCCTGAGCTTTGTTAGACCTTGCTTTTGTGGTGCATTTGCAAGAAAAACTGGGTGCAACCTTGCAACATAAAAGTATAATACTTGTGCAAGAAGAGAATTGGCTGGAACTTTGTGAATTGTTTGATGAGACTTTTTGCTGGATCACTTACATATATATAGTTGGGCTGGGACGTGTTCACACCTAAAAAAATGACCGCGGCTCCTGATGTTCTTGGAGATGGTCCGCGACGAAAGACCTGAATACTGATATATAGTATTATAAAGTACCAGTCTCCTCAAGATTCTCTACTATCTCTACTGGATTTGCAGAACTTCATATTGCAGTAATCTTCCCAAGCTCCCCACCGTTTCGCTCTTGGGCATCGGCTCATGCTGATGCCACGCTTTGAGCATCTGAGCATCCGGAAATTGGATTCAACCTCCCTCGTGCATCACTAACAGCACGTGCAAACAAAGCAACAAGTGGTTCATGTGTCGTATACGCGCCTTGTTGGAAAGAGTGAAAAAGCCGCAGGCATTTGAGCAAACAACATGCACACAGCCAGCGTTTCTAATAAACTTCTTGGGCACGTGCGCAGCCAACTGAGTGCAACTCACATGTCATTCCACTAACGATTTACACTTGGAAAAGCTCTTCGCCACAAAAGCAAGTATCAGCATTACCTAGGACCATAGGCACAGGAACCATCAAACACAACGCTCGGTTGATGGTGCAATCCTTTTCCAACTTTATGTCCCACTCGAGCTGCCAATCAGCAGCTCCAGTTCGAGCGCAGTCGGTTTGGCCCTTCGGTTTGGCGCTTCTCTGGGGACGTCGACTCTGCTGGGTCCCGTCGTCACCGAAATGGCCCTTGAAATCGGATGGAAGCTCTCATCGCTTTTGTGGCGAAATCGGGCGATGTCTGATGTCGATCTCTTTTTGCCCTCAAATGCGAACCTCCTTTGGAAGCTCAATGCCACTTGTTTCGAGAAGGTCCTTCAGAGACCATGCGTCTTCGGGGGGTATTGGAGCTGGCTCATGCAATGGATCTTCGAGCTCTCCATCTTTGGCAATGGCACGGTTCCACTCTGTCTGAATTGCATGAGCAACAGATCCCAAAGGTGTCTCTGGATCCGCAATCTCCCATTCATACCTCGCAAAGAGAGTGAAGAGTGGCTGGGTTTCTGATTGTTGACGTCTCACTCTCCTTCGGCACTCTCTTTGTCACCTGACCTGTTGTCACCGGTGTTTTTCATCCATCAACCACTCCTGTACCCATCAACTAATTCTGCTCAAGGAACTGTTGACATCTTCCAAACACCCGTTCACAACGCGGGGAAACAAAGCTTGCCGAACACCCCGCTTGCAGAATTTGGTGGGTTCTTCCAGGTATCACACACCCTCAAGGAGAAATATATGGACAAACACGATGCACAAGCACTATGGAGAAACACACTCAACATGGAATTGAACAAATAACACAAATTTTCCCACCAAACGTCTTAAATGTCTTCTTCGACCCCTCCTGACCTGGATCTCACTTTCAACAGCGCGGAGAAGATCTGCCGTGCCACCCGTGCTCCGGACACCTCTGGACGCGAGGAGGCTTCCACCCCGAGCCCCGAGGCGGCCAAGGCTTCTTGGCTCTTTGCAGCTAGCAGGGCCCACACGGATTCCGGAACGGCTTCCAGGTCCGACTCTGCTAAGAGAACACACCACTCCGCCAGCTCCGGACCACTGGTGCTGTGGACCTTGCGATGAAAGATGGCCTCAGACTTGAACTTCAAAGGCAATGACTTGAGGACCGCCGAAAACAGCAACTTGGCAGGTCCGGACCTACTCTCCGTGGTCTCCTCGGAAGCTAGTAACGCTTCGACCTTGAGGCAACCCTCCAGAAGCCGGTATGTGTCTAGCAAAGGAAGTCGATAGAGCTCCGGACGAACAGTGTCGCACAACAGCTGGCCTGTATCAGAGATGGCTGGCATCACAGGCTCTCCATACAATTGCAGAATGCGTGGAAGAGCAAGTGCCAAAGATGCGGAAATAGCTGTGAGCCTTGCTGGTTGCGTACAAATTGATCTCAATATCAAAACCACAACCTCCGGCTCAATTGTGCTAACTTCAGTCGCAGGTGTCACGCTCTGCATTGCAACTTCCAGCCAGGGCAAAAGTTGCTCTGGCTGCCACAAAGCCACTTTCGTACTGCTTCCAACTGCTGCCTTCAGCAGCTGTGCTGCCAGCGTCCTGCGCTGCTCCGACATCGCCAGTAGTTGGGCAGCACCGAGGAGCAACTCCCCCCGCACTGAAACCGGAGGTCCTTGGAGCGTTGGAACGACACAAAGCGGACATAAAGGTCCTTGCGCGTTTGGTGCAGACTTGATGTCCAATCCTTGGAGCGTTTGCTTACCTTGTGCCACAACTTGAACATTGGGCAACTTGCACTTCTGTAAACATGCCTCAAGCGCTTGCAGTATGACTTCCTGGGCCGCATTTATGGACATTGATGGCTTTGTCACGTGGGTTGCTACCTGGTTCATGGAATCTTCTGCCTCGCTTCTATGCATCCCACTTGCTTTGATGGGTTCAAACTGCGCTTGGGAAGCTGCCCACGATGCGGCAGCACAAATCGGTGCCAAATTGCCTAGACTTGAGGGTCCAAGCGCATGAGGCAAAAGCAGTGCCAGAAGCTCGCCATCCAAAGAATTTAGTGCGGAGAAGCTTTCAAGAGCACTCAGTGCCAGGCGAGGCTTCAATGTATCCAAGCAGTCGCTGAGGAGGATCCGTTTCACTTCGCCAACCAGCAAAGGGAGAGGATACTCTGCACGTGCAAAGGACTTGAGAGTGTCCACCGCCAGCGGTGCATCCATGATCCTCTCATCCTCGGGGCTCGCAAGAATCAGTGCAACAACATTTAGCATTCCATGGTGCACAACGTCCAAGGAAGAGTACACGTTTGCCAAACATACCAAATCAACCGTAGTGTAAGAAGATATTCGTTCAACCACAAACGTTGCGATCTTCCAAAGCAGTCGAAGTTGGCCTGATTGCCTCTCACCAACACATCTCGCGACCGCAAGCAGCTCTGCAGGTGTCATGGACATCGCCACCAATTCAGCTCGACGGCACAGCGCTTGCCAGTGCAGCTCGTCCACTTTTCGATTTCGTGCCGCCACGATTGCTTCTGCCAGCTGATAGTGATTCAGAGTGGGCACTGGCTGATAACTGCCATCTTCTCGCTGCCACATAGGCCCTTGGGGCCGACGTGGATCGTCCTTTCCAACAATCACTTCGGATGGACTTGCAGGTGTTCCGTCCAATCTCTTCCTTTGCCACTTCTCTTCCCAGTCCCATCCATCATCCCATTCAGCCTCCCAGGAGTCCCACCAACGCCCCGTCTCAACCTTAGGGGCCTTCTCAATCACTAAATCATCAATCATCTTTGACAGGTGCGTCTCCTTCCGATGCCACTTTAAGGTCTCCCGTGCCATCAAGGCATCCTGTTGGAAACTCTTCTCTTCTCCGCGTTCGCAGCGCCCATCAGGCCGCGCAGCGGGAAAACCCCGCAAGCCGCGGAGGTTCTGAAGGCTTCGCATGGGCTCCTCCTCATAGGGATCCGTGTCACGCGCGCGGCTCGGGCGGCCGCTCTTGCGCTGAACCGGCGGAAACCGCGTCGGACGTGTCCGTTCCGCTTGAGAAGCAAAGGCCCTGAGGGTCGAAAGGACATCGTGCAGGATGCCATGGGATCGGAGGAACCTCATGGCCCTCGACGGCAAATCCTCGACGTTTGAAGCAACGAGGAACACCTGGAAGTAAGGTGTTTTGCTGTGATCATGTGACAAAAAGGGGTCGAATGCCTACTCAAATGCTCAATTCGCAAAGTCATGATGTAGTTGTCAACGATTTTTTCCTTTTTATAAATCAAGCGAAATCAATGCAAACAAATACTGCTTGAGCCAATGGTAACACACTATGTTGATCTTGTTGAGTGCCAGAACCAAAGAGCATGACAAGCATGAAGTGACTTCGGTGTTTCTTTCAATCGTAGATTTTTTGCGGCCCAGGTCTGCTCAGTTGCAAAATTCCTTACCTCGTGCTTGGGAAGCCGCAAGAGGCCTTCGTTTTGCACTCGAAGGTGAGCCTGCAAGCCCAGTTCCTGCTCCAACATCTGCAGAACTGATGGACCCAAAGTGCTCTCTCCAGTTTTGGAATGTTGTCCAAGTCCCACAATGAAGTGCAAGCTTCCATCACTCTGCAAGCTGGAGTTCGAACTGGAGAATTCAGACGCAATCGTTGTGTCCAGTAAGACCATCCGCACCGCCATACGTGCAAGCTCTCCGCTTAAACCGTGCAGGTCCCAACCGTTCGCTGTTCTGCCTGGGAAAAGCCGGGTCCCAACCGTACTGCTCTCACCCTCCAACTGTCCAGCCTCCCGGTAGAAAGCCAAAGCTCCAGCAAGATTTCCAGTTGAAACCATGCTTTCGATGATTGCAGTCACACACATGATATCCGGCTTCAGCTGAAACCGACACATGTCTCGAAAAAGATTCGTTGCATGATGCCACTTCGAAGCTCGGCAGCAGGAGTCGATGGTCAACTCAAAACATACTGGGTCACGAAGCCCTTTTCCGAAACCATCTCCAAGCCTGCCGTTTTGGGAAATGTTCCGAGCGAGTGTCTTTTGATGGGCAAACTGAGTTTGCTTCACCCCCATACCAGAAATGAAGAATTGTCTTCAGTGCCAAACCCTCACATCATCTCAGACGTGTCAAACCAAGTCGTCCCTTCACCATCGCGGAGGAGAAGCATCATGCAATGTCTTTTGCTTGTTCTATTCAACATAGTGCAAGCAAAGTGCAATGTATATACATGGTCGCATACAGTACGATGTTTTCATCTATATATTCAAGTCAAGTTCCTTCGCTTTTCCTTTAAAGCTCAACGTGCATCACCGCGAGACGTCGATGTCGGTCGATGGGTCTCCCGACTCGGTCGTCGATGCGACAGCCGCCTCGGTTCGCTCGGGTCGCTCGGTTCGCTCGGACGCTTTTGGGAGGTCCAGCCGTCCAGCCAGCCCCTCTTTGGGATGTCCAGCCAGGGGAACTGGAACCGGAAAAGCACAAATGAATACAAATGATTGATCATGGTTTATATTACAGCTACGTATGAGTAGTCATGTCAACTCATACATGAGCGGCCCACGAGAGCTTCGCTACCCAGTGGTTGCAGGTGATGCCTGGCCTTCGCCGTAACTGCTGTGCTGATATGCATCCTTGAACAGGTCGAAGGCTTTTCTCCTCTGACATTCCCATTCTACCATCTCACAGATCCACTGGATGCTTGAGTTTTCTGATTTTTGCCCACGCTTTGCTGTTTCAATCTGAGGGGACAGCCTCAAGTTTGTGCAAAAAGGATCAAAAAGGTAGATGGTTACGCAGATCTGGAAGCATGCCAGGTAGAGAGTGATGGTGGATGTTGATGTTTGTGGGAAATCTGGTCATCTTGAACTATGCCCACCCTCGTCACCCTCGTGCGATCTTCAGAAACGCGGTTTCGACGCTCCTGCATTGGCTGCGCGGGTAGTGCCTTCGGAAAGGCTGTCTGAAGTAGTGCCTTCGTGCCGCTCACAATCCGAAGGCTGTCAGGTCAGTGTTCCCCAGAGATCGGATCTGTTCTTTTGAATCATCTTTCAGGTTCACCAAAAGCTGGAGCAGAAATCTACCAAGACCTGAGGGTAGGGGAACATAGATTGAAAACACAAATGCCTAACGCTTGATCAACTCCCAGTGCAAACAGAAATTGCTCGTCATGGTTGTTCGATCGAGCTTCCTGAGATACCGAAACAGGCTGTGACCCTTTGGAGATGTGTGTCTTTCAAAGACACCCTGACCCTGGCTGATTAGACTAATCTATTTCCAACCAGGGGGTTCTTGGGAGGTCTCCCAAGTTGAGCTACACTGCCACACACCCATTTTATGATGTGAATTGAAGTACAGTAGTTTTGCTATTGCGTATGTCAACTTGGGCTTCCAACTGCCACTTGAAGCCTTGAATGCAAGCCGCCATCGCCCGGGCACGGGCCCGGACCTCGGGGGATCAGGCCCGGACCTCACAGGGCGCCTATCGGGTGAACACTCGTTTGGAACGGGTCACGGGTGTTCTTGGGGTTCATTTCGAGGATGTACATCTATTGTACACCTCAATCCAAATCGGAGGGATCATTAGTCCAAATTCTACATTAGGGTGGTGGCAATATCATGCTGCCCAAAAAACTCCAGTTCTCCAACCAAGCGCCGCCTCATTTGCTCTTATCACCTGCTACATGGTGTCCATCGACACAGCTGCGCACAAGGAGACGACAACCGGACACCGAATAAACACCAAACACCGTGGGGGCTTGATTCATTGATCGGTCCAACTGCGGCATTGCCACCTTTGGATGCACTCGGTCCTGCCAACTGGATCAATCCCCCACAAGGACCGCCACACGGGCGAACGAGCCAGAAATGGAGCTGTTCTCCATCGAAAAAACCCGAGTTACACTCAGGGTCGATTCGGCAGATTGACAACTCAATCAGCAAAGTTTTCCCGACCTGGGCGGCGAAGAGCGGAGGGCCGAACGGAGGGCGGATCAACCGGGTGAAGCGAAACGCAAGTAGATCAACGCTCAAGCTTTGCTGGGGAATAGTCTTTCTTCCTCCAATGGTTCCTTAGGAGTTTTGGCCCGCTTGAATATTTGGGGTGTGTCTTACCAAAATGCTAAAAACATCGAAAAACCTGAAGTGCAAAAATCACTTCCCATCCAGTCTCATCAAGTCCAATCCTGCCAAACCAGCATTAACAAGCTGCAAATGTCCACGGCGCGCTGGGAGAACAGCTCCTTACGTCCAAGGCAGTCTGGCGGGAAAAAGACTTCGGAATCACCACCCACTTCAAACTGCGTGCGTGCCACTTCTCGTTCTTGCACCACTCATGCACGCACGGCCTCAAACAAGTGTGCTGAAAAAAAAAGCGGTCACCGCTACGCACTGCGGTCCACGGTCACGGTCGCGGACCACGGTCACTGCCACTCCGTTCACTCCGTGAAACCGGTGGTTCCCCCGAAGGCTTCGCCTTTGGCCTTTCGCACGTTGCGGAAAAGGTGAACCGCACAGCCAAGCGTCTCTGATTTGCGCCCGATGTAGATCAGCTTGGAGGCCAGCCTCCACAACTTTGACCATCTTGTTAGTGAGTAAGTGCATCTTTCATTTCAGCAAAAGCAGCGAAATACAAACGCATTGACACATGCGCCAACCTCCAACTCTTGCAGTGCTCGTTCTTGCTCCTGGCATAGTTGGTCGATACACAAAAACCAAGAGATGAAAGCTCGACCTGTCGCAGCACCACCACCTGCACTTCTGCCACCATGGGGTAGAACATGGTAGAACTACCAGAAGCCAATTGTGTTGGTGGCCTATTCTGCCTCATGACATATGTCCAACCTGTACAGGCTCCTGCGCCGCTATACCCGGTGCATGTCTCAATGTTTGTAGCTGTGTTTGGACTGTCCAGTAGTATGATCTTGCTCTTGCTGGGGTCGTCAAAAATAGAACGTGGTCAAGGTCTCTAGCACTTCCAGGTAGACTTGGTGACTCAAAGATGAACAGGTTCCCTATAAAATGGACACACCAAGCTCAAGCACCAGTGGACCAGTCGACAGCTCCCGCCTGCAAGTTGCTGCCTACCTTTGCTTGGAGTGCCTGTACAGTGCGGTGCTATCCACGGCAAAATGGCGTTGAAAACAATTAGGTGCATGGATATACTGTCATTGAGAGAAAGAGAGAGAGTCATCTTTGAGCTTAGCCAAGTCTGTGACCAACCCCAGCCGTGAAAGCATGTTTGGCTAAAGCGGCGACTAAGCAGCAAGTAGAAACGCACTGATAGAAGCACCAACCTCCAACTCTTCCAGGGCTCGTTCTTGGCCCTGCCGCAGTTGGTTGATGGACCAAGCTATCACAAATGCAAAGCATCTTAACGTCGCCGCTATCCCGCATGTCCGCTTGCTTTCTCTCAGGTGCAAAAGCATTGTCTTCCTTTCAATAACTGCTTCCGATCAACCAAACACAAGAAAGCTCAACTGCCTGTACTACTCCCACTATGGATTAGAACTGTCAGAAGATGCCAGAAAAAGTAGAAACTGGACCCCTTGTCGAATAAAGTTGAACGAACACCTAGTCGACCGCTCCCAGCCTGCAAGTTGCTGCCTACCTTTGCTTGGAGTGCCTGTACAGTGGGGAAGAAGTCCATGGCAAAACGGCGTTCCAAACAGCAGAATGCTCATCTCATCGTAGGTCCATGCAATTGGCATCTTTGAAATCATCTCGCTAGTGAAAGCATGTTGGAGTTGAAGCAGCAAATAGAAACATACTGACAAAGGCACCAACCTCCAACTCTTCCAGGGCTCGTTCTTGCTCCTGGCACAGTTGGTTGATACAAAACCAACACTCTAGATGAAAACTCAACTCCGAGCACCACTACCTCCACTGCTGCCACTGTGGCTGTGAACATCTTAGAACTACCAGTGGGGTGCTGGTCTATTCAATCCTTCCTGACAACATTGTCTCTTAAGTCATCGAGAAACATCTTACCCACAACTGGTGCAGGGTCAAAATGTTCGTCTATGCACCCGGCACAGTAGTAGTATCTTTTTCTTGCTGGGGTCGTCCAAAATAGAACGTTGTCAAGGCCTCTTGGGTCTCTGGTGCTCCCAGTCGCACTCAAAGATGAACAGGTTCCCTAATAAATGGACACACCAAGCTCAAGCAC